GGCCTCGCCTCGGCTCCGTGCCCCGCATCTTCCCCCGCCTCGCCCTGCAGCACCGCGCCTTTGTCCGCCCCCGCCCGCCTGGCGCCGGGAGAGTTTCTTCCCCTGAGGCGAGGCGGGGAGAACGGGAAGGTCTGCAGTGCCCTGAGGACGCGCCGCGCAGTGAGCCTCTGGGCCGAAGGTTTGCAGGGCTTTTAATCTCTTCATCCTAGGGTTCAGATGTGATTTTATTCCCCCTTTACAGTGAAAGCCAGCTGCCTCCGTTCTCATTTGTGGTCAGAAATCCTGGGCACAGGGCTTCTACCGTGTTGTGGGATGACTCAGTATTATCTCCCACCTTTGACCTGCCCTAGGACCCCCTCGCTTTCCATCTTCCACTGCCTAGGGGAGAAAAAAAGTCTGTCTACACGACCGTTTTTCTGTTTGTAAGGAAGAAGGGAAAAAAAACATGCCGGTCGTGGACCTCTGTTTGGCATTAGTTAATTAATTAGATTGGTCTTACTAATACATTTAAATAAGCCACAGTTGTGGGAATAGGGGAGAGGGTATGAGGTGTGTTGTTTAAAAGTGTAGTGTTTTAACAAGTAGAATTTTTTTGGTAAATAACACGTTTCACGTTAAACATTAACATCTTTTTGATGCTTTGTCATGAATGGGAGATCTAGTAGTAGTGTAATTTGAGCTTCAAACTTTCTCTTATTGTCAGTTTTTCATAAGCCTATATACTTCTTTTCCAGAATGGGGTGCACTGTGACAGCTACTCAGAATTTATGTGTTACTAAGGATTATCCATTAGTGCCATCCATGCCTTTCATACTTACACTCTAACTCTAAGGGATGCTTTCTTGAACATTTATTTAACTGGATTTAATACTGGGTAGTTATGTAAAGAAAATATCAACAGAAAAAAAATTTTTGCATCTAGACAATTTAAGTTATTCTTAGACATGGATATTATAAATGAGTATTAGATTTGAAATACCCATACAAGTTTTAAAGTATTTTATATGGACAGTATTTTTGATTATATAACAGGTACCTGCACATTGTGGGTCACAATAAATATATGAGAAATTTTAAATGAATCTTTTTGGAAGTAAAGAAAAAGACAGCACCCACGTCCTTGCCCTGAATTCCATTTTACACTGTTTTCTACTGAGACTCAAATAAATTGTACCCTGTGCCCTAACACACACCTCAAATTGTGTGGTATGAAAAGTGATAATATGCTAGGCAGTCAAGTGGAAAATAACAGAATTCTGTAAAATCTATTTCCAGCTGGGCTCAAGGCAGTGTTTTACAGTTCTTAAACTAATTTTTGGAACTTTTTATGCCAATCATGGCTGAGATAGGAAGGTAGAAAGATAGTAATAGTATATGTGTATATATATAACTATTTAATCCTTACAATAACCTCAAAGGTAGGTATTATTTCCCTTACAGCTGAAACCATTGAAAGCATAGGCTGTACTGCTGGAAGTGGTAAACTAGATAGGAATCTAGATCTGACTTTCTACTCATTTTGTTAAGAGCATACTTAATTGGAAAGTTGCTATCTCTCCTTTCATCTGTCACATGTATCTTTATGAATCTGTGTAATCCGAGGATCTTTGGAATGGTGATGTTACTACTACAAACGTTATGTTGTATTATGTGCCAGGTAGCACTGTCCATATATCCTCAAAGTATGTGGTAGCTACTGTTTTTCTTCCTTTTACCAAGGAGGAAACTGAAGCTTAGAGATATGTAATCTGAAGCAGTTCTACCTTAAGTGGTAGAAGCAGACAAAAATTGGGATAGTCTGGCTCCAGAATCCATACCCTTATCCACAACTCGATTCTGGCCCATCAACGGAACCTCTCTAGTTGCTGGGAAGCTATGATTTTAGAGTACTTATTGTTTTGCTTTCTTTTTAATGTTCATGCAGAAACCTGTAGGATAATTTATGATATCTGCCACCTAATGTCCTATATCAGTGTTTTATGTAAACGATTACACATTACTAATCATAGTTAACACTTACTGAGAGCTGCATACCAACTCCCCATTCCAACTTTTAAACATCTCGCATAATCCTCAACACAATCCAGGGAGGTAGATACTGTTATTTTATGCTGCATCACATTTGTAAGGTACTTTATTGTCTTCAGAGTGCTTTCACAAAATAATCCCTTTGATTATTTCTATGATGTCAGTCAGAGGTATTACATCACTTAATTTTTCCCCCACTTAACAGATGCACTGGGGTTGAACCCAGGACTTATGCATACCAAACACACAATCTACCACTAAGCTATACCCCCCACCCCTACCATCACTTAATTTTTATTGCAGAAGTTCAGGTGACTTGCCTTGACTAACGTGTAGAGTTAAAACTCCAACCAGAGCTTCAGACTCCCATGTATGTTGCTTTTCCCACTATACTCATCTGTCAATGAATCTTTGCTTTGTATTTGTTGTCCTGAAATAGATAGTATTTTCCGTAGAAACAGCTTATGCTTGGAGATTATATTCCCAACCCAAATTCAACATCAGTTAAATCATAAATATGACTGGCTGTAAATCTTTGTCTTTATTTTCATCTGTAAATTTATATTCTAACTTCAGTTACAATGCCTGGCATATAGTGGGGCCTCAATGTTAACTTTCATTTTTTTTTAAATTTCAGCTTTGTTGAGATATAATTGACATAAATTCTTAAAATTCTCTCAAGCTTAAAGAGGATAGCTTCTTTTTCTCCTTGATACCACAGCCTCTTTCTCCACCATAATACCACAGCTGTTAAGTGTCCCTCCTCTGCCCCTTGATAGCTAGCCCCTGCTTTGCCTCTCAGCAGATGATATTAAAACAATCTGTTTGACTTACCTCTTTGTTGGTAAGCTCCTTGAGAACAGGGGCCATGCCATATTTCTTTTTATGTCCCCAATGCTAGGCTCATTGTTGGGACTCACTAAATATTTGTTGAACTACATCCATTTGGAAAGCCATCTAGAGAATTTTTTCTTGGTCATCTTGTTCCTGAAGATCTTGAACACCCTTAGTCACAGGATATGTTATTCAAGGTCTGGACTGAACTAGAGGATGTGTGATGGGAGGAGAGATGGGTGGAGAGCGAGTTGAAGAAGCAAGGGAAGCCTCCACTGTACAGGGATGAGTGCATGTGTGTATGTATGTGGAGGTGCCTTGGCTTTTTATATATGAGAGTCAGGTCTGTGTTTGGGTGTGTGTAATGATTAAACTTTGTCAGGACAGTTGTCGCATTGCTTCTGAAGACAAGGAAGAGAACTTTCCAAAAAACATTTCAAACACACAAAAACTAATTACAATTGTTGATGTAATCTCCCCACCATGTAAAACTAATAATCACATGGCATAGTAACAGTCATTGTGCTTATCCTAAAATGTCAGATTAGCTTTTAAACTTTTAAGTTTCATTTGTTTGCATCAGTCAGAATTAAAAATGCTTAACTGTCATAGTTTGTAGCATGAACCTTCACTTACAGAGAAATAAAGGAAATACGACTTTGGACTGGGATGAAATTATAATTTTTTTCAACAGCTTTTTTTTTTTACAGTTTAATTCCACCATGCATGAACTGCTAATCAAAATATAAATCATATGCACATAAGGATTTTTTAAAGGAAGATATGTTGTATTCAACTTTTCCCCCCAATGTTTTATTAAAAATTTTAAACAATCTACAGCAAAGTCAAAAGAATTTTATAGCAAACAGCTCTATATCCATCACTTATATTCTACCATAAATATTCTGTTAGAGTGGGGAATATAGAGCTCAGTGGTAGAGTGCTTGCTTAACATGCATGAGGTCCTGAGTTCAATCCCCAGTGCCTCCGTTTAAATACATACATACACACACCTAATTACCTACTCCCCCCAAAATATTTCAATATTTTAAAATTAAATTAAAAGTATTTTATTACACTTTTTAATCACATATTTATTCATCTGTCCATCCGTCTATCCATCCATCCACCAATGCATAATATTCAAATGCTATTATATTTGAAGAGATTTGAGCTGTATATTCTCTGTTGATTTTAGGTCAGTTTTATTTTTCCTTTACATAGTAGCAGATAATTCTTAGGAATGAATTATAACTGATTTATAATGTTATGAAAACATTTGGATTTCCAATACAAATAAATCTGTTTGTCTTTTCTATCTGTAGTTCCCAAAGATGAGTCGTGGACATTCAGAAAACAACAATTTCCTGAACAATAACAACCAAATGGTGTTGGACATGATCCTTTATCCATTAATTGGAATCCATCAGACCATCAACTGGGAAACTGTGGCAAGGCTTGTGCCTGGCTTAACACCCAAAGAGGTAAATAGCAGTCCTCCAAATATCTACTGAAAAGAAATCAGAAAAAGTGATCAATTTAGAGGAATAACTACTAACAAAAAAATTTGAGTTTCACATATTCAAATGCATGTATAAATACTGAATGTGCATATGGTACAATTTGACGATATACACATTATATAAATTATATGATATGTTAAGCCACCTGATAAGTTTAAATTTAACATTATCTTACATGTTTGCAACTGAATGAGTAAATAAATTTTTTATAAACTCCTTACGTTATTAAATTCCTAATATTATGCTTCTCAAATGAGTAATGTACAGACCTTTTTAAAGGAAAAAACTTGAATACTCCCAATGACTTAAATTATTATAGTGGAAATAAATATGCACTAACAATACTAGGTGTAAACACACCTATAC